AAAAGAAGTAAAACATCTCTCTGTGAAACGCTTCTTGGCTGTGAAACGCTTCTGCTGTGAGAAAGAAGTTTCTTCCTCCACGAAGAAGGGTGCAGAGCCTGGTTTGCTCGGAGCCATTCCCCTCGTCATCTGAACAAAAGGTGAGAGGTCAGTCGAAAACACGGGGAGAAGCGTGGGCAGCTTAACTGTGTGTCCACCACTTGCTGCCTCACTGTCCTCCTGCAAAGCCTTCCCTCTGCAGGGGGTGGGGGAGAAGGGGTGGCCCCAAACTGTGCAAAACGCGGGTTTGCTTCATCCTCCCTTGAAGGCTCTGACCCCGCCTCTGCAGGAGCTGCTGGTGGCTGGGCTCCCACCCCTGCCGCAGCCCAGCCCCGCTCGGCTGTTCTCACACGGCTCCGGGGACAGGTTCCCACCCCTGCGGCTGCACGAAGCCAGTTTGGCTCCGATGGGAGGGAGGCAAGCAACGAGCTCGGGCGTTTTAGGGTTATGAAAATATAAACCCCCAACCAGATACTGCTAACTCTGCTGCTTCCTTGCTTTGCTCGCTGCTACCAATGCTCGGAGTTCGTATTGTGCAGCGAGTCCCTTTGTTTTGTAGGAAACCAAGTGATTGAAAACAGCCATGATATTAACTATGCGTGGACAGTACATTTTTTCCATGTATTTTCATAACCCTTTTCCCAAAGGATCGAATGTGTCTTTATTCTATAACTCTACAATGGGTTAGAGGAGCTCCTCGGGCGGGAATTGTTCTGCTCCATAGGCTACTTAATGCTTTCTATAAACAAATACCAGATTGGGTAGGTAATAATCTTACCAACCTTACAAGCAAAGTATGTGTAGCTGCTCATTAGAGAGAAAGGGTTGGAGATACCTGTTATGAACCTAGGGCTAAAGATGACAAAATACTGGCTGTGGGTATTTCTTTGTTGTTGTTGTTGTGGTGGGTTATTTTGGTTGGTTGTGGGTCTTTTAGTGGTTGTTTTTGGTGGGGTTTTTTTAGTTGCTTGTTGGCTGGTTGGTTTTTTTTTATTATTATTTTTATAAAAAGCAAGGGTGTGTGTTCAGCTGCATTTCCCACAAAAGAAACGCATGGAAGCTTTGATCTCAGACCTCTATTGTAACTTAGGCATCTCTGCTACCTAAGCTGAAGTCCCTCTAGTTGAGTTTCACAATAATGCTGTAGGATGTATTTTTAAGCTTGCATTTGCCTGCTTGCTTTTTGTCCCTAATTAACACTGTGTAATTCTCTAAATATTGTCTAAACTTCAGCCTTGACATTAGAGCAGGACCCCTTGGTCCTTCGCAATCCTTGGGATGGGAGGTTTCCACTCTGCTTGCCCTTTCAGAAAGGGCTGCTGGGGGCTGACAGGACACTGTGGTGGTGCCCCATGGGGACCCCAGACCATGGGTCTCAGTGGCAGATGCTGCCAAGCTGTTGTGGAGGTGACATTGCCCCACCATAAGCCTGGCAGTCTCTGGGATATAGACCAACTCAGGACAAGGGAAGGTCCGTGACCAGGAAAAAAACCCAAAACAACCCCAAATCTCTCTGCCTCAGTATCCCATTTGTGTGAGAGCACTATAGCTGTTCCTCACAAGGGCCCTGAAAGCTGATGTGTGTTTTTCTATTCCCTCACTTCTGTTTCTCTCAAGCAGCCCCCCTCAGGCATCCTACTCTCACTGCCTTGCCTGGGAGGGACATGGCTGCACTCGCCTCGGCCCCTTGCAGTGCTCCATCTGAGCAGCGCTGTGCAAAGGGATGGTCTGCAGACCACGCACTTCCACTTGCAAGAGTCCTCCCCTGGCCTTGTTTTTTTTACTCTACTCCCTCCTCTCCTCTGCGCTCAGAAAACATCTGTTTCCAGATGTTGTTCTTGAGTCTTAATAAACGCAGCAAAAGGCCTCGAGTTAATATATTTACAATAGCTGGAGATGTTGGCTGCTAGTTAATGACTCGTCGAGCACACTAAGACCCCCATGTTTCCTGGGGGGGGGGGGGAGGACAAGAACAGAAAAAAAAGAGAACTGGGGTGGGGTTTTTCTCCCTAGTAAATGACCTGAAAAGGGGAAATTCTCCCCAGACAGTTTTGGACCCCTTTCCAGGCTAAGTGAAGACATGATGTAGATACCTGGCAGGCTTGAACTGTGCTCATAGAAGCAAGAACCTCATCCGTGCCCAGCTCTTCCATTTTCTGGCCTGTGGCATGGAGTGGTTCACGTCCACGGTGCCTGCCTTGGGTCAGGGAGGGTCTGTTGCAATGATACCACATTGTGCCCTGCCCTGCACATCGTGCCCTTTATGAGCACTGAGTGTCTGTTGCAGAGCGGTGCTGGGCAAAATTTGCCCACGCGCCAATGCCCCTGAGAAAGCTGAGCTGACGGTTCCAGCTACAGAGCGAGCAAGCTGGAGGCTCACCAAACTCTTTGTCACTGATCAGTTGCCCCAGTGCCATGTGCTAGATGGGAAACTCTTTCGCTGCACAGAGGAATTCAGCTGCTTTGGGAGGTATTATACGGGCTATATTTGCTCCAGGTTTCATTGTATGTTTGTGCTGAGGTCCATAACCGCCCCAGAGGACCTGCTAGAAGTGGCGGAAGCGTGTGGTTACTGTCCTTATAAAGAATTGCATCAACCTCCCCGAGGAGAGAGGGATACAGCCTCAAGCTCAGCGTATCAAGGGCGGTCTAGGAGTCACCGGTCAGTGAAATCACTCCTGATTGCGAGTGAGCATCTGCTTCTACTCAGCAAGCCTCGAGAGACACAAACTTGCAGGAGGTTTCAGGCCAGCACCCAGCTCCTCAGAGGCTGTGGAGAGAGCTGTGGAGAGCCGTGCTCACCCCACAGAACGATGAGATGACTCCACATGCTGGGGCCTGTCCCTGGAGGCAGCTCATTTGTGGAGCAGCGCTGCAGACACGACATGCGCGGTCGGCTCAGGTTCGTGGCTAAATTAGTCCATTTGTATTGGCATGGGATGACAGGGCTCCTTAATGCCTCATGGATAGAAAAATTACCCTCCTGCACATCTGCAGCTGAGGCTTCCGCATGAAACCCGGCTGAGTGTGGCTCCCCAGCCTGCGGCAGCTGTGACATACCCCCTAAATGAGCTGATCCGCTGGAGAGGGGCTGGCGGGGAGGCAGGAAGAGGCACTTAGAGAGTCGTTCAGGTGATGCTCGTGTCTGGACAGCAGGGTCTCTATCACAACTGAGAGTGAAAGAGCAGAGACCCCTCCCCAGCCAATGTGGGGAAATGAGATGTAGACACCCAGCAGGTTTCTGTTTTCAGCTTGGAAGGTGGGTTTTTGTGATTTTAGTGCCTAGGCTTGTGTAAAGCGGAGACAGAGAGAGACAGCCTGAGGTGAAACTATGAATAACACAGGTGGGTAGCTGCAGTTATCAGTAGTTCAGCCCCAGTCTGAGGTAGCGTACTTCAGTACTGCCTAGGAAGCTCAGCATCCCAGTTGCCAACTGCTACTTCTCTGAGTAGATCTCTGCTTCCCAAACACTGCATCATCGGCCTCTAAGCATCTCCATTTCTTGCTGTCTGCTCATTTGCTGGGATTGCAGATGGTACCTTGGGTAACTCCACGGACCATGGTTTATCTCTAGCAAAGCCAAAGCCTCAGGGACTCCTTTTCCTTCCTCAAGGAAATAGGCTGCTAACACAGGGAAGAGACTGAGCAAGGGGTAGGAGGTGGGGGTGGCTGTGCCTTCCAAATGAACAGACACCCAGTGTGCGCCAGGTCTCTGGGTAACACGTCTCTGCCCTGCTCATATGAGAAACTGTTGAGAGGCTGCAGCCATCAGAGGGGTGTTTTCCATGCGTGCCGGAACAGCAGCGCAAATTGGAGCAGCAAGATGACAAGAAACCTGCTAAAAGAAATAAAGAAAGGATTTCCTGCCTTGCAGACACTAAACCCCCGTTTTGGGAAGCAAGTGGCTGTGAAAGGCATGAGGCCATTCAGAGAGCTGGGGCTGTGTGCTACTGGGTCCTCCAAGGGTTTGTCTGGTGGAGGAGAAACAGCTCATGCTCGCGTTAACCTGCTCCCAGAAGGTCTTATTTCTTCCAGCCCTCTGAAACAGAGACCGGGCCAGAGATGAATATGAGTTTTCTCTGCCAGTAATTTCCAGCACAGACTGCACGCAAAATCTTCATTTAAAACGTGTAAATGACAGCGAAAGAGCCACAAGGGAGCCAGATTTTAAGAGACCAATTTGCTGCCTAGGTTTTAATGACTGTGCACCATGGTGAGCCCTGCGCCGCTTCACTGCTGAGCGTGCTCAAGGAGGGGATTAAAGAATGGACAGACAGACAAGCAGGGGCTCAGCAGAGCCTGCGTGTCACCCCGGAGGATAAAATATTGTATGTTATGCTCAGAAAAATTGGGAGAGGTGGGCCTCCCTTGGTCCTGAAGAACAGAAGGAGACTTTGTTTCCCAGACGCGTGGCTCGGAGCTGCCCTACAGCACGTTTTGGTGAGACTGCTCCCTGCCAAAGAGGGCTGTCCGTCTGGTGCCCTGTGCCCAGCAGGACACGGAGAGGAGATGATGAGAAGCTCGGCTTCACTAGAGGGCCTCAGCAGATTAGTTCCTCTGAACGCCCTTGGCAGGCTGTACCCCCAAATCAAGCCCCAAAAGTTCCCCCCTTGCACTGCAGCTTGCCCGCCTGGGATGTTTCTCCCTGCGGCCCTTCGCTTGTTTCTTGCAGAGCCCTCAGCTGCCAAGCTCTTGTTTCCAAATGTTTCCCTCTGTTTCTCACCCTGCCTGGCTGCTCTCCTCAAAATATCAGGGTCAAAATGCCCCGCCGCTGGTGCCTCAGGGATGCCCCAGGATCTGCGTGGGGGACGCGACAAGGCGTTTGCACCATCCCATAAAGTCCTCTCGGCTACGGGGAGGAAAGGAAGACGCAGGCTGGTGTGAGCCCAGCCTCTGCTTTACAATCTCTTTCCTGCCACTATAAATAACCTCGGCGAGAGTTACTTCAAAGGAAGGGCTGGCGGCGGAGAGGTGCTTTGGGGACCGAGCGGGACAGGGGCGTCCCACTGCCCGATCCCACCCCGGCGCTTTGCATAAATAAATAAATCATGCAGCAAGGGAGAGGTGGAGAGAGAGAGGGAGAGCAGAGGAGGTTACTTTGGGAAGCCGCGCAGCTCGCTCATCCCAGCCCCGTAGTTCGAAGGGAGTGTGTCATGTTACAGGGGAGCCACGATCAGCCAGAGCACAACGTCGCCGGAGCAGCTGAGAATTACCTCTCTCTAATGGGGACTTTCGTGTGCAAGCTCCTAGCCAGTCTGCGAAGGAACTGAAACGGGCAGCTTAGAAGGAATCAAAAACCTCCCAGCGAACCAAAAGACTGAAACACAGGAGGGAAAAAAAAAAAAAAAATCTCGATCAGATTATTTCCCCCCCCTCGCACTCTTTGCTGCAGTTGGACCTCTTTTTTTCTGCACCTCTTTTATGTGTGTGTGGCTTGTTTTTATTTTTTAAAGACCCCCCCACCCACCCCTCATCCACTTTTGTCGTTATTGCTGTCATTTGTCAGTTGCTGGCACTGGGATCCTCTTGGATGCTCTTTTTCTGTGCCTTCTGGATTCTGCTTCTTGGAGTAGGAGTGAGGCTTTCTTTCCTCTATTTATTTATTTATTGTTTCTCAGGACAGGGAGGGAATGTTGGAAGAGAAGAGCTGGAAAGGCGTCGACGAAGCAGCTTTTGACAGGGGGTGTGTGACTCCCCCCAGGACCGGCGATGGGGAGAGATGCTGCCGCCTCCCTCTCCTGCTGGGCTCGGGGCTGCCCGGCGTCTCCCTGCTTTCTCTGGTGCTGAGCCTCCTGCTGTACTTTCGGACCTCCGATCTGCAGTCCCGGGTGTCCCACTTGGAAGCGGACAGACCCACACAGCTCCCTGCCTGGCTCTCAGCAGACCAAATGGAGACAGCTATTTTGGGAAGAGTTGACCAACTGCTTGATGAGGTCGGTGTCCTTTCATTTTGCATGTATAGTTTGGAGTTCTATAGATTTTAGGCATGTGCGTGCTCGCATGCTTGTGTTACTCGTTTTTTTTCCCCCGTCTTAAAAACCTGGCTCTGCACAAGTGATGCTGCTGCTGGGTTGAATTCCCCGTTTCTCCAGGTCCCTCCCACCTCTCAGACTCACCTGGTGTTTGCTTCTCCTTTCCCCCAGCCCACACTGTGGCTGAACCCTGCTCTTTGCAAAGGGGAAAACCTCTTGCCTGGTCCTAGCAGGGAGGGAAAAACCTCCAGCCTTCTCTGTCTGGTAGCGTTGCCTGCTGAAAGAATTAGAGCTAGAGGTTAAACCTGGGGATTCAGAGTGTGTCTGAGCCCCAGGAGAGGGGCAGGCAAGGCATATCGCAGCCAGTGCTGCTATGGGAGGAGGCAATTTGCAAGCACCCCCAGCGCTGTGATGGGCTGGCTTTGCTGCTGTGCCAGCCCTGACCCCTTCCACAGCTCCTGGCTCAGGGAAATGAGACACACTGGCACTGCCAGGATGGCTTCTGGTACTGCCGGAGCATCAGCGCAGAGCATATGGCTGTGTTATGCCTGCTTGAGCCCCATCCAAGCTCCACTGGACCCTGCGGGTTCTCCTCTGAGCATGGGGAAATGCTGGTGCTGCCTTCAGCAGGTCAATAAAGAAAGCTCAAAAGTGCAGATTTTTGTTGGTGACACCCTTCGCTGTGTTGGTGCTGCTGGGGGCTGCCTGGGCTCCTCTACCCTGGGCGGGATGAGTATCCCACAGTATTCCTTGCCTTGTTGGGCTTTGAAGCAGTGTTGACATGTCAGGGAGCAGATGGTGGTTTGTGTCTCTGAACTCTTCAGACAGGTCCACACTGACCTGTTCCCACAGCTCTGGGGGAGGCTTGGGGCTGAAATTCAGGGCTGGAGCTGTTTCCACCCACCTCTCCTTTTCTCTGTTTACTCCAGCTTTGGCTTGAGTCATGCTGGAGAGATCCCTGGGGCTAGCCCAAAAACTGTTTGTGTCTGCAAAACCCCCTCGTGTGCTGCTGCTGCCAAACGAGGCGAGGAATGGGATGACCAGAGCGGCGTTTTTAGGGACCTGCCCTGGGCGGTGCTGCCTGGCACCTGGGGTGACCTGGGCCCCCCTCCTGCTTTCCAGGAGCAGCAAAGGTCTGTGGTGAGGAGTCAGCCTACGGCTGACAGGCTCGGCTTCTGTTTATGGGTCTTGTGAGAGCAGCCCCTGGATCGGCTGGGGTTCGCAGCCAAAAGCTGTGAACCTCGAGTTAGCAAACACCGCAGGAACTGAAGGATTTGATTTTGACTTGTCTCTTAGGATGAGGAATAACTGGAACATAGAGTCCGTGGGGTAGTACCCCATTTAAACGAAGTTTTTTGGGGAAGCAGAAGCATTTGCAAGTGGTTGGAAGAGCTGCGCTCTTGCGCAGGGACTCCTTCCCCACCTCCGGGGCAGGGGATAACGTGCAGCGATCCCCCTGTTCCTGCTGGCATTAGTCTGCTGGGAAGTCGCAGTTTATCTCTACCAAGTGATTTGAGAAGTGCTACAGGATGCCTGCCGGGAGCAGTGCCCGGGGCCGGATGGCCCCCTGTGTCCTGCGGGCTCTGCTGGCCACGGCACCTTTCCGCCTTTTTATAGCTCGGCTTAGCGAGGAAACGGGCCTCTCACGGTGCCCGTGTGCCAGGCAGCGCCCCTGTTTTCTGAGCAGCCCCTCCTGTGCTCCTGGGGGTGGTCCCAATCCCCCTCGCAACCAGCGTGGGGAGCAGCCGTGGAACAGGAACGACGGGTTGAGGGGGCCAGCACTTGCTCCCGGGTACCACCAGGGTCACCAGCTCTGTGCTGGGTCACGGCTTCAAAAAGAGCTTGAAGAAAAGTGCCGGAGCCTGTGGAGGAGCAGGGATGCCTACCCAGATCTCCTGTCCCTTTACACTTGGGTAGATCTGCTGTCCGTGGAGGGAGGAGAGCTCGTGTCCCCTGGGCAGGAGACCCTCCTCAGCTCCTCTGCCCACTTCCCCTGGGCTCCTAAACCTCAGGTCTCCACACTCAGCCAGAAGTGCTGTCATGGGCCAAGTGGCTCAAGGTCCGGGGTGGGAGTCTGCTGGTGGACAGATGGTGAGATGGCATATGGGGCTTTTGCTTAGGAAAGAAAAACAAATCCCCCCCCCCGTCCTCCTTTTTCATTATGTCTGAAGTGGGGCTAAGTGGGATAGGTCCCCTGGACTGGCTGGCACGGGGCAAGGATGGAGAAAAACAGGAAAGATAAAGGGGAGCAGGAAAAGGATGGGAGAAAAAAAATAAGGAAAGCAAAAGACAGTTGTGAGCATGACTAGGGGAGAGGGGCTGCGAGCAGGCTGCTGTGATGGACGTGAAATTCATTCCCCCCTGCTCAGACCCTCGCTGCCTCTCGTTGCCACATCCTCACAGAGTTTCCTGGTGTTTCGACCTTAATGGGTTTCACAGCTGCCAGCTCAGTGTTATCCATCACGAAATAAAACAGCAAAGCTTTAAAGGAAACCCAGCTTTGGAAAAAAAAACCTGGTCTGAGGCAGGCTGGGAGGTGGGAGGTACGGGGAGCCACGGCACAGGAGCACATTTCTAGCTCTGATGGCCTGTGAGGATCAGCTGGAGAAAAATGAAGAAGCCAAGTCTGCGAGGGCTGATAGAAGAGCTCTAAGGTTATGCTCAAAACCTGTACTGCTCTGTGCTCCAAGCTGGAGTGTCATTCTCTGCAGTCTGTGCCCAGGTGTGCCCTGGATGTTCCCAAGGGTCTGCGAGGGACAACCATACAGACTGCAGTGAAAAGTGCAAAATGCTCTGTTAGGTGCCTTTCTTCTAGACATGCAAAAATAAAGGAAGCTGGCAGGGAGAGGAGCTGGGTTGGTTTGCTTAAAGTGTTAATTTAAAGGCAGCTGGTGGGGGTGTTTTCTTAATCTTGGAGCCTGGTTTTTGAGCACCCCGGCTGGCTGTGTCAGTGTTTCCATCGCAGTTCGGGAGGAGCAAGGAGAGGGCGGCAGATGCTTTCCCAGAGGCAGCCTGACCAGCACTTCACTCGCTACTGTGTAAACCTCTTGCCTCGTGTAGGCGAGTGTCAGAGGGGAATTTCTACCAGACACAAATTGACTGGGTTTTCCTATAAAAACATCTGTGCAGAGTGGGCCAGAAACAGGTAGTTCGGGGGAACTTTACCTTCAAGTAGGAATTCCTCTGCATTTATGAGACGTCATAAAATCATACAAAGAGCGCAAATAAACTCATATTCGCAGGAGAGGCAAAGCTTTCCAAAGAAGAAAACAAGGTCCTTTCCTATGCTGGATAACATTTGGTACTGTTTCGTTTGCCAAAAGCTCATCAGGGTGGAGAACAGGATGGATTCAGTGCTGCTGCTAGGAGGAACAATCCCCGAATTTGTGAGTTTGTAGAGATAGAAGTGTCTATGTGTAACACAACTGCAGGTATCCTGTGCAGCCTGGGGGAAGATCAGCTGCCCCTCTGCACCGTGGTGAGCATGCTCAGCCTCTCTGGGGGTTGTGTTGAAGGTATTTGTTGTGGCTTTAGTGATGCTAGAGGCATTCACGGACTGTGCCCGTGACTGGGGAGGGAGCATCGATCCTGACTGCTTTCCTAGTAGTCTCATTTTACTGGGACTCTTTCCTTACTTGAGCAAGCAAAGGAGGGATAGCTGGAAACTTCCCTTTCCCTCCCAACTTGAAGCTTTTTTTCTTCTACTTTTATTCAACATCTCAAAGCACACTGCTCAGTTCTGCTTCCCAGCATCTGCAAGCTTGTTCTCAACCCGACCTCCATCTTCAGCTTAGGGTTTTCTATCCCAAAATACCAGATCTGATTTTTTTCCTTCCAACTTCTCTGGTAGCTAAGTCCTGTTTCTTTTCAGCTGCTTGCAGTTCCTGCACCTAGATAGTGTTATTTTCAAGCTTTTTGCTCTATTTGGGAGGACTCCCTGCTTGCTTTTGCTCTGTGCCACATGGTCCTGTGATTCCAGGAGCTGGGCCTTTAAGAAAAAAACAGTGAAATTGGAGATAAAACAATAAGAGTTAACAAAACCACCCACCCTTGAAATCCCCCTGATGGTTGTAATAGATTATCTATTTAAGATGTGTTTCTTTTAGCTGTTGGAGATAGTGGTGGGAAATGATTTCACCTTCCCCGGGTGACTGCAAACAACTAGGAATGCTAAAGAGCTATTAATCTGCCCCCTTTGAAGAAGTGCCCTCCCTCTCCCCTAATCTCAAGTGCCCCTCCAAAACAGACAGGCACTTACAAGGTTTAGGAGACCACAGCCACGGTCCTTTAATGTCAGAAGAAGTCTTGCTTTCTCTGCTCTGTCCACCCGTGTTAGCCCTGTCCTGTCACGCTTGCAGTGAGTGCACCCACGGGAAAACCCCATGCTGGCTTCACTGCCATTCCCAGCACGTGTCTCAGCCCAGCCCTCCTGGCCTTGCCCTCTTGCAGACAGAGGGTTTCCCCCTTTCCTGGACGCTCAGTGGTGTGTGATGGCTCCCTAAACACACAGGGGTGCCCAGTCGGAGCTGCTCAGCTCTGGCTCCAGTGCTGGCAAAGGCTTTTTCAGCCACGTTCCTACGTGCAGGGGGAAGGTGCAGCTGTTATGTCACTGGAAAACATGACGGGCAAGAGCAAGCCGGCTCTGCTGACAAGGCAGTCCTCTCCAGAGGAAGTGTTTTCAGTGTTTATGCCAAGGCAAGAGGGAGCCAGTTGCTGCTCTTGGTGTTACATGCTCCAGGTTATCCCCCAGGTGAAAAAGCAAATCCCAGTTCCCAGGAATGAGACTTCCTAGATTTCCAGAGCTTCACCTTCTTTTAATTTTGCTTACGGAAGTCAACCTTGCCCTGGAATTGAATGGTTTTGTGTTTCCTGGGAATGAAAGTTTTTCCTTGAAAATGCCATTTTTAGAGGGAAGCCCATTTGTTTTGCTGTCCTGAGCAAAGCCAGCTTCTTGTGTTGGACCAGGCAGTATTTTGCACAGTGGTATGAGGGAAGCAGAAAAGGCCAGAAAATTGTTTTGTTTCACCATCTCAACCCAAAGTTGAATTGAGGTCTTCAGAAGCCAAGGATTTTTTTTTTTCTGTGGCAGTCACTGTTTGTTTAATAGACTGAAGGAAACTGAACTTGCAGGAAACTGAACTCCAGGCTCTCCTAAATTCCTGGTAGCGTTTGCCTTCCACTGAAGGGGAGCAATCCCACGGCACCACTGCCCTTTGCACTCCCTGGGGATGTGCAGAGCTCTTGGGCTTGAGGGAGGCACCAAGGATGGGGAAAATGCCAAATGCCGGTGAGTGGCTGATGGTCATGGTGCACAGGGCTGTGCTCCCAGCCCTGCCCAGCAGCTCCTGCACCTCCCTCTTGAGGGGCCCCCCATTCCTGAGAAGGCTATTTCAGGAGTCCCAGGTCTTTCCAGGACCCTGACCCTGCAGATAAAGTCTTGGGGAAATGTTACTGCTCCGGTTCCGTTCCCGGTTATGCTGAAGTCCTGCTGGGTCATCACTTCCCTGATAAATCCAATTGCTGCTCCTCTCCTTCTGTGCTGGCACAGCAACCCAGCCAAGGCTTCTTGCAGCCAGCCCAAACTTGGCCCTTCCCCCTTAGCCCCTCCAGTGCCTCTGCACTCTGTGGGGCAGATTTTTTGTCCTACAGAGGGTCCTCCTGCAGCCCAGGGTGTTGGGACCCTTAGTGGTTAGGAAATGGCTTTCTGCTCCTGCCTTTCCAACCCATCATCCCTCCCTTGTGCTGAGGCCGATTCCCAAACATGGGAAGGCCGCCCAAATGCGGCAGTCTGATGCTGAGACGTTTTGGTTGGCATGTGTGTAGATGGAAATGGGAATGTGTGTGCCTACATACCAGTGTGGGTAGCCAGATAAAGGCTCCCCTGTCCTGTTTGTGCCCATGTTTGACCATTAGCACACGGCGATTCAGTGCTGCAGAGCCGTGCCATCGGGGATGGGGCAGATAGATGGGAACGTGCCCAAATGCAAAGGTTCACGTATCAGTGCTTTTAAACTGAGAAGGTAAACACAGATGAAAATGCTCTATGGGAACTGGCGATTCTCTCCTGAAACCAGCTCCTCACCCCGATATCAGATCAACTCTCTATCAAAACATTTTGGTCTACTATGCAAAATAGAGCACTGAAAATAATTCAATTTCTAGGCAGTCACAACAACCCTTACTGCTTTTGACTTGCAGCAGGGAAGCCAGTCATTTCAAAGTGGAAAAAATGGAAGTGTTCCAGCCAGTTCTGCCTTCCCTCATCCAGGCAGAACCAAGTTGTTTTACTTTTTTTTCCTCTCTAAAGGGAATTTTCCCCAAACTGATACCTTCTTTCAGGATGGTGCTCGATTGCTTGTGAAAATAAAGTGATTTCTGTCTGATCCTGGGCATGGGCTTCTGTGGCACCCAACATAAGGCTATTTCTTTTGGAATGTTGGCCCAATTATGAAGTAGGTCAAACAATAGGAAGCTGTAACCGGGATGGGAAGCTGGGCTTGAGGGTTTGAAGGGAACAGGGAGTGACTCGTTAGCACAGGGCAGCTCAGCCTTCTCAGATCATCTCAAATCATTAACCAAGTGTGGTTCGCAGGCATTAATGAATAACTTCTTCGGGTTGATTTGCATTCTCTTTAATAAATTACAGCCATTTTAATAGAGTCTATGAGGGGTGGTGAGGATGCTGTCCCTAAAGCACATTTGGCTCAGGACATGAGTTAAGTTTAATGACGTTTCCAGTGAGGGCAGATTCAGTGACCTCAGGTGGACTCTCTTGGCCTTTTAAGAGATACACAGGTGGGCCCAGAGAGCAGAAAACTGATGTGCTGGCGCTATTATAAATCCAAACTCATGGGAAATGAACATTTTGACACAATTCCACACTGTGGAAGCTCTTGATAGGTTTTGTTGTGTTCTGCACGTGGAGAAAAGTTAAGTTTCACAGCCTCTGAAGGTTTCAGGAGATGCTGTTGCTGTTCTCAGTTCACCTTCAGCCACAATTTTTCGGTGGGACCCTCCTGTCCATCCAGGTGTTTCCGTGAGCATAAGGAGCCACAGGGGGGAAGAGAACCTGCTTCAGATATTCGGGTTTTGTCTGCCGACTGAGTCTGCTGAGAAATGAGGCTTTTTCACAAGGACACAGTCACCAATTTATTTGCCACTGCTGGCTCTTGGTTTTGTAATGCCTGTAAGGACCACATTTGGAGGCCGTTACGAAACTCCCTCGGCCTGCTTTCAATCAAACCCCACATTTCTAGTGTGAACTTTAATGCCTTTCTTCATTTCCAAACTGTTCTGCCCTTTCTTTCCAATCTCTTGGGCAGCATCCCCCCCCCACCCCAGTCCCATTTTTCCTAGAATTTGAGGCTTTGGTTTCGATGGTATAAATTAATCCTTTTCCTGTTTTTCCTCTCTTGACAGAAATTGAAGTTTCACTTGCCGAGACATCGAGAAGTTCGAGACACACACCAGCGATGCAACTGCCCAGCAGGTAGGGATGTGGGGACAGCTGGGCACTTTGGAAGGACCTTTTTTTTTGTCTACATCTCATTGGAGGCTTTTCCAATGCTGTGTCATGTATGAGTGCAAAGTTGCGCACGTTTGCATCACAGTGTGCTCTAGGTATGGGAAATCGATGTGGAGGGGTGTGCAACAAGTTTGGTATGTGCCTAAAAACCAACACGTGACAGGAACAACAGGACAAAGTGACAGACATCCAGACAGATGTCTGGACAGACAATAAAGAGAGAAAGATGCACCTAGAGGGCACGTATTCCCAGGGATTTTAGACATCGGTGTTGAAGCGGGCAGAGTGGCTCTTGAGGAGCTGATTTTGGAAGGTTTGAGACACGTAGGCTAGACCCAGCACCAGAACTGAACAGATGGGATTTTGGTGAGCCAGAATGCCTCTGGGGTGAGAAGATTTTAATTCCTTGGTGTTGTACCACTATCTGAGGCATCTTGCAGAATAACAACCTTCTCCTCGAGGTGTTCATTTGTGAGAGGGTTCACTGAAATGGTCACTTGAGGTCCCACTTGTATAACATACAGAAATATTATGGGATTGCTTAATTGCATTATGTTTTTAATCATGCTAATATCAAAAGGCTCTTTGAGACACATCTTCTGAAGTGGTTTCAATACAATAAGTGACAAATTGCTATGGAAAAAACATTTGTGAATGGCATTTCATTCCATGACTATGAATCATTCAGCCTTCCTCATTGTCTTTTAATGCATTGGACTGTGCAGAAAAAAAAAAACCAAAACAAAACAGAGAAGTGCCAACTACCACTCACATCCCAAGATGAATTTTTGGGAGAGTTTGAATTTGTATATCCAAACTGGGTATCTGAAGCTCACTTTGCAATTAAAGAGGCAGGGAAAGTCGTGTGTGCACGAGCACATGAAAGCAGCACTTCTGTTTTCTGTGGTTTCTCCTTTGGTTCTCTTTGGTGCCCAGCATGAGGTGTTTGACAGTGTCTGGTGGTACCCATATCAAAGTGTATTTAAGTATGGCCAGTAGTGGGATAATGGTGGGAATTATGGGGAGTTGTCTTTGCTGTAAATAATGCCTCAAAATCATTGTATTTGGACCTGTGAACAGACATAGGAGGCAGTCTCTTGCCACGCTGAAATGAATTTGCAAGGTGGCAGCTTTGTAAAAGCAAGAGGTGAAGCTGTACAGGTTAATGATGGAAAAGAATTAAAATCCAGGATCCAGACTTGTAGAACATTGGAAAAAGCCTGATTTGACTACTCTGGATCAGGACTGTTGGGACTTTTTCTTTTTAGTCCCAGAAAGAAACAACAGGAGCTATTTTAGTTTAAATTGAAAAGACAGTACAAATGAAATGTCTTCTAAATGTTCTCTAAAGAACAGATCAAAACTGAGCTCAGCTGTTTTTAAATATCCAACCTTTTCCTCCAATGGGAACACAAATCATAGCCCTACTCCATTTTCAAGTTCTTGCCTAGACTTGACATATAAATGCCATAAAACCACAGGAATGAATATCCTCCTGGTGTTTCTGAGCCAGCCTGGAGAAGGAAACTTAGAACTTGAATGCAGAGCAGAGAAAAAGGAGATTGACTGATTTTTGAGGCCATCTGAACGTGACCCCCTGCACCAGGTGTGCGATAGATGAATCACCCAAGTATTGCAACATCAAGGTCATAATACTTGGTTACAGATACCCACATCCCATGGGAAGGCTTGGCAGCAGTTGGGGATGGCTTTCTCCTAACTCTTGGGTGCCCACTCACCCCAGTTAAGCTCACGGTATTGCTGAATGACAGCTTTGATGACAGTAGTATCGTCTCATAAAGGTTCAGGCTGCCTTTTTACCTGTTAAACTTGCTCATCTTCATCTACAGATATGAGAACTGTATGTAAAGTTTCCCTCCACCCTGTTAACTAATCTGTTGAAGGAAATGAGACCACTGTCTAAAGGTGATGGTGTGGCGGGTGAGGTTTTGGCTGGCTTGGAGCAGTGCAGGAAGGAAGGCACCTTCAGCCAGCTGCTGTCTCTTCTCAGACCCTTTGCTCCAGGGGTTTTTCCCTTTGGTCTCCAGGCTGATGCAACACAGGCCACCTGAACGCACTGTTGTGCTGTTTCAACGTGGTCTCTCTTCCAGCCCGAGACCTTGGGAATCCTTCTCCCCAGTGCATTTTTCCCCTCGTGTTTAAAATGCCCCAAGGACCAGGCAACGTGACTTTTGAGGGAGACCAAGGTATTCAGAAGCGTCAAGATGTTGCAAGACTTGGCGCATGCCCGTTGCTTCTCACTGGCCCACTTCACTGCCTATAAACACATCGTGCTCCTCAGCAAAAATAAATGTTTATCAGAAGTGACATTTGAGTTCATCCTGAGCTGCGAGCCAGGTCCCTGCATGGCAGAGGAGGGGAAAAGGAAGACAAGTTCATTTGCTGACCTGTTCAGTGCGGATGTGGAGGTCCAGGGCAGTGTCACCCATTGCCACAGGAGAGCTTCAGAACACGTGGGGCTGTGAACATAAATGGTTTGGAAACGGTGGAAATAGAAGAGCAAGAAAGGTTGTGAAGTGTGTGACTGCGCTGTGGATATCTGAGTGTGTGTGATAAGGACTGTAGGAATAACACGGTCAGGAAAACAGCACAGCTGTATTTATAGTAAACGATAAGGAATTATAAGTTTCCTTTGACTGGGAAGCTGCTACTTCAGATCACTTGGGCTGGGGGTGGATGTGGCTACCTGTGACGTGTCGCTCCTTGGCACTGAGCTTTTTTGAGCTCAGGGGTCGCAGTGGGGAGGGCACAGCCTCCGAGTTTAACACAACCTTTCTGGGTAATTAATGACTCAGTTCCCTCTGTCTTGATAGGTAACCCGTGTGATTCCTTCTGTCCCCACTGTCTGCCAGCCTGACCTGGGACAACTTTGCACAGGTTGGGAGAGAGACCCTGAGGCTCCATAACAACAATAACTGTACCCAGCTATTCACCGCCCCCAGAGCCTGCGCCGTGCTGGGGCCAAGTGTGGGTGGGGAACTCGGCGCAGGTTTGGGTCTGAGGTTTTTGCATGCTAGGATGAGACTGGGGGGAGGTTTTCTGGGGCTGAGCAGATGCTTTTCCATATGGTATGAGGATGTGGTTGAGAGCTACCTGAGGCTGGAGGATCCTCTTACAGCCAACTGGCCTCCCTTGATTTCTTCCACGTAGTAACAAAACACCATGAGGGAAAGCACTATGTTTCAGGTTGACAGAGCAAAAAAAAAAAAAAAAAAAAAATCTAAGCTTTCTGTAGATCAGGTCTAATCTAAGATTTCCTTAGATTTTTCCTTAAATTAGGTCTAATCCAAGATTTCCTTAGATTTTTCATTAAATCAGGTCTAATCCTGATCCAGTTACAGATCCAGACTGTGTCTGCCTGGACAGCCTCAACAGCCAGGGATTACACCAAAATCTCTTCCCACAGCCGTCCTGGCGGAGGTGGGTGCTTGTCTATTTTGTATACTATGGCTCTTGATTAGACCATTCCCATCTTCCTCTCTTCAGCTCTGATTTTCACAGTCCCCACGTGGCTGTTTTTCACTCCGCTGGCTCTCTGCTCCGGTCTTCAATATCCCTTAAAAAAAAAAAAAAATAGCTGGCTGCTTTCTGTCTGCCCCCACAGTGCTTGTTTTGGTCCAGTTTCTCCTCGGGCAGGTTGGGAGCCTGCGGTGCTGGAGGCGGTCAGCCGTGCAAGCAGGGAAGCGGCTCGGAGGGATGCCGAATGACTTTTCCATCTCTCCCTGTGGCAGCGCTCGCGGGCAGGGGAGGGACCTGGGCTGCAGGAGGAGGCAGCTCCCGGGAACTGGGACGGGCAGTCGGAGGGAGGTTGCACAACCCCGCCACAAACCAGGGTTACCTTTTGCTGTTATAGGGGCTTGGAGGATGGCGTGGGGCAGCTGCACGGATTTTGGCATTGAATGGGAACTGGGGTATTCTCGGGAATGTCTGGGAGGTTTACAAAGGAATGTCCCCTGGGCATTTCTTCTACAAAATTCCACCCGCATTCCCTGTCTGCCCCAGCCTGGGGCACAGGGACGGGTGCTTGGCCACTCTTCAGCTTCGATTGGCCTTACAGAAATTACAGCAGGAGATGCTGCAACTCAAATGGTTGCTGCTGTTCCCCTTCTTGCAGGGAGGCCTGCAGGAGTCAAGGTGCAGTGATGGCCCCAGTTGCACCCAGGAGACAAGTGCCACGTGCTGTGCACACTCGGTCCAGTCATTCTGGTCTCCCCCTTGGGCACACCCTGAGGGCCTGTGCCGTCCGACCCCTCAGCACACTGGCAGCTGCTGGAGGAGCCCAGCAAGAAACAGTCAAGGGCTGCAGTGGGGCTCTGGCTCCCACCCAGGATGTGTCACCCAGAGCCAGCAGGGCCAGCTGACAGGAGGCCGCAGGATTAGAGGCATATCCTGACCCCTGCCTGGCCCCATAGGCAGCTGCAGAGGGAGGAAAAAATGCTGGGAAAGGCAGGATGAGGGGTGATGGGGATGGCTGGAGCAGGGGGAGACCCCTGGGCAGCATGGGCTGAGCCTCAACCTCACAGCACACAAGCAGAATATTGGGTCCAGGTAGATGCATCTGTTTCTGCCTTGGGATTCCTATCTTTTCCCCAAATGTCTCTGTGAAGATGAGCCAAAACAGGGGACAGTGACCGAGTCCCGCCTGCTCCCCACATCCCAGCTGACATGCTCCTCTCTTGCCAGGTTGTTTTCATGGCTTTTATATTTTCTTGCTGTCGTGTTTGACATGATCCTTTTTCAGCTTGCTGGGGCTGCTTTGACAGATGATAGAATCATAGACTGGTTTAGGTTGGGAGGGACCTAAATCATCATCTCCTTCCAATTTTCTGCTGTGGGCAGGGTCACCTTCCACTATCCCAGGGTGCTCCAAAGGCCGTCCAGCCTGGTCTTGGACACTTCCAGGGATGGGGCATCTACAACTTCTCTGGGCAACCTGTGCCAGT